GGTAAGATCAATAAATAGTGCTCATACTGTATAATAATCTGCAAATGGGATACTTTGTGATAAAAAACAAAACAAAACTGGCTTTTTTAAAGACTTAGGACTCTCCTAGGGAAGAAGGGGTGGTGGTTAACAGAGGCACTGGGAGAACTGGGTCAGAGCTTCCTTTGGGTTTTCACAAAGTTTGGGTCAGTGGAGCATTCATACAGATCTACTCACCTTGACCCATATTCATCAAGACATTAAATATCAAATTAGGAGCTTCATCTAGGGCTTCTGCAGACCAGCAGTGCTATGATCCCCGGTAGGCACCGGACTAGGTGGCTGGGCAGGCATTTACTGTTGCTGCAATGTCCTGTTACTCAACAATTTCCCGGAACAACAGTGTTCTTTCTTTTTTTTTTCATCCTCACCCGAGGACATTTTTCCATTTTTTTGTACAGATAGAGTGGGAGGGAGAGAGAGAGAAAGAGAGAGAGAGAGGGAAACATCGATGTGAAAGGGACACATCGAGTGGCTGCCACCCACACAACCAACCAGGGCCGGGGACAAACTGCAACCAAGGTACATGCCCTTAGCGGGAACCAAACCCGGGTCTCCCGGACCGCAGGCCGACGCTCTAACCGCTGAGCCAAACCGGCCAGGGCAACAGTGTTCTTTCTTTGCCACCCTCACAGTAGCCTCAGTTGCTGCTCCGTGCAGCCTTGCTTAAGTGTGATGAACTGGTCACCCTCACTGTGTGTCCCTCTCCTTGTTCCCTGACATGTATGAAGTCCACCGCACTGAGCAGTGTTACGGGGGGACGCTGACAGGACCCAGAAGAAACCCCATCACTTTGAGTCATTTTGCAATGGAATCTTTTGTTCTATGTCTCCGCGGCAGCCAGAAAACTAGCTCAGAAAGCGACTGGACATGCTAATAAGCAAACCAAATACTTCAAAGCAGTATCATCAGTTCTCTTCAGCCTGCTTTTCCTGCTTCTGCAGAGAGAGCCCAGTCACTACCTTTCTATTTCAGTCACACTATGGTTCTGTGGGAACTGTCATTTTCCTTTACTTCGGTTTCCAAGGCCCTAAAATAACCTTCTCATTAGCTTCACTCAAGTTCATTGTTAACATAAATAGGCCAAAACAGGCAGCCGCGTGCAGAGCACTGTAAGGGAACATCATCAGCACTGCTCTTCTATTTATGTTCTAAACAGAAATATTCAAAAGCATGAAAGAAAGATCCTTGGTTTTTAAAATTATCAGGAAATATACTGTGTATAATTTTTAACTTCCTGGAAAGGAATTAAGATGACTGATAACTTTTAATTCAGTTTAGGCTTGACTCTTTCTGTCATATCCAGGTGGCCACTAGCAGAAGCTTGAGTAATGTGGAAAATATGTCTGTGCAGCTGCTGGCAAAGAAGCAAAATTACGCTTCCTCTGAAATAGTGTGACAGAGTTCCTGCAGAGGAATGCAATGCTGGCTGGTCTGTGAGCACAAGTGCCACTGGTATGCACCGTCGAACCCAACCCCAGTAAGCCCTGGCCATCTCCCACTCTGGGCTGCATGGTGGGAAGCTCATGCAAACAGAACGCCTCCATTGTGGGTCAGGTACTCTTCTTTGTTGTCCAATCTCCAGGACACATTCAAACTTACAGTAAGAAAAGAGAACAAGCGCTAAAAAATAGCAAATGATGCTCGAAGAGGACAGGGCAGCACTGTCCGCTTCACTGGTGAAAGGCAGCTAGTGAGGGCTGTCTCATTAGCTCAGTTTCCACAGTTGCCTTTGCTCCAAACTTGAGCCTCAGTTGTAGACTAAAGTCACTGGAATCACTTGAACAATAGTTAAATACCAGTGGGATTGGAGACTTTCACTGTGCTTGGCTTACACAGAGGAATGTAAACATCTTTCCCTAGGGAGTCTCTGGATAGTTGATCAACCTTTCCTGAAAATTGTATCTCAGCAGTTGAAAAACTTTCTGTAAAGGGCCAGATAGTAAGTAGTCATATGGGTTACACAATGTGGGTTGCCACTAGTCAGCTCCTAGACATAGCTCAAAAGCAGCCATAGAGCCCTGGCCGGTTTGGCTCAGCGGTTAGAGGTTAGAGCGTCGGCCTGCGGTCCGGAGAGACCCGGGTTCGGTTCCCGCTAAGGGCATGTACCTCGGTTGCAGTTTGTTCCCGGCTCTGGTCAGTCGTGCGGGTGGCAGCCACTCGATGTGTCCCTTCACGTCGATGTTTCTCTCTCTCTGTTCCTCTCTCCCCCTCCTACTCTACCTGAACAAAAAATGGAGAAATGTCCTCGGGTGAGGATAAAAAAAAAAGCAGCCATAGAATATATGTAAACAAATGAGTATGTCTGGCCTGGCTGGTGTGGCTCAGTTGGTTGGGTGTTGTCCTGTGCACCAAGAGGTCACTGGTTTGATTCCCAGTTAGGGCACATGCCTGGGTTTTGGGTTTGATCCCCAGTAGGGGGCATGCTGGAGGCAGCCTGATCTATGTTTCTCTCTCATAGATGTTTGTCTCTCTCGCTCTCTCTCTAAAATAAATAAAGACATTTAAAAAAATGAGTATGTCTGTGTCCCAATAAAACTTTATTTATAAAAACAGCAGTGGGCTGGACTTGACTCATGGCCACAGTTTCCTGACACTTGTTCTATCTAATGGGTACACTGGTATTGCTACAAGAGTGACTGAGAAATGATCATGACCAGAACTAAGTTGTTCTGCTAAAACTAACCTATGGTGTTAGAAGCCAGAATAACAGTTGCCCATTGTGGATATGAGGGGTTGGGGAAAGTATTGTAATTGGGACAGAACATAAGGAAGTTTCTGGGTTACTGTTAATACTCTGTTTCTTGATGTCAGTGTTTAGAAAATCCACTGAGCTTTGTGAGAATCCACTTATAAGTTGTGTGAATTTCTGTATTTGGTACTTCAATAAACTTTTAAAAATATGTTTTATTGATTTTTTTTTTTTTAAAAGAGAGTTAGGGAGAGGAAGAGAGAGAGAGAGAGAGAAAGAGAGAGAAAACATCAATGAGAGAGAAACACTGATTGGCTGCCTCCTGCATGCCACCTGCTGGGGACTGAGCCTGAAACCCGGGCATGTGACCTGACTGGAAATTGAACCAGTGACCTCTTGGTGCATGGGTCGACACTCAACCACTGAGCCACACCAGCTGAGCCAAACTTTTTTTTTTAAGAAAAAAGAGTCAAGTTATGTTAAAGAATAAATGATTTTTTTAAAAGGAAGGTAAAAAATTATATCTAGAGAGTGTAGGTGTTCGGCAAAGTGTCTGTGGGTTTCCAGCAATGTTGTGAGGACAGAGGCCATTTTTGGCTTTTTAAAAGTCTTTTTAAAAATCTGTGGTAAAAAACACAATGTAAAACTTACCATCTTAACCATTTTTAAGTGTACAGTCTGAAAATGTTAAGTATATTCACATTGTTGTGAAACAGATGTCTAGAACCTTTTCAACGTGCAAATCTGAAACTTCATACTCATTAACAACAACTCCATGTTTTCCCGTCCCCCAGGCCTTGGTAACCACCATTCTACTTTCTGTTTCCATGAATATGACTACTTTTGATACCACATGTAAGCAGAATTATATAGCATATGCCTTTCTTTCTTTCTCTCTCTCTCTCTCTCTCTCTCTCTTTCTTTCTTTCTTTATTTTTTCTTTGCGGTATGTGCCCCTAGCAGGAACCGAACCCGGGTCTCTCTGGTCCACAGGCCGACGCTCCAACCGCTGAGCCAAACCGGCCAGGGCTATGTGCCTTTCTGTGACTGGCTTATTTCACTTCACATAATAATATCCTCAAGGTTCCTCTAGGTTATAGAATGTGATAGGGTTTTCTTCCCTTTTAAGGCTGAATAATAATCTACTGTATGTATCTACTTTTGTTTATCCATTTATCTGTCAATGGACATTTGCTTCCATTTTTTGCCTGTTGTGAATAGTGTTGCTATGAACATGGATGTGCAAATATCTTTCAGGACTCTGCTTTCACTTTTTTTTTTTTTTTTTTTGGCTATATGTCCAAAGGTGAGGTTGCCAGGTCATATATGGTAGTGTCATTTTTAATTTTTAAGGAGCTTCCATGCTGCTTTCCATAAAGCTGCACATTATACAGTTCCACCAACAATGCATAAGGGTTCTCATTTCTCTACATCCTCACCAACACATTTTCTGTCTTTGTGATAGTAGCATAAATCAATTTTTTATTTAACTTTTTAAAATATTTTTTTCTTTATTAATTTTAGAGAGAGAAGAAGGGAAAGGGAGAGCGAGATAGAAACATCGATGAGACAGAACATCAACTGGCTGTTTCCTGCACATCCCCCACTGGGAATCAGGCCCACAACCTGGGCATGTGCCCTGACTGAAAATTGAACTGGTGACCTCTTGGTGCATGGGTCGACGCTGAACCACTGAGCCACACTGGCCGGGCAGCATAGATCAATTTTTTGGAAGCTATTTTTGAAGGCTGGCAAGGCCTTACCAGAATTAAGTTCTAAGTATCAATGGCCTTCAACAAAAGTACCTTAAATCCTTCCTGAAACTTGATATTTATCCTAAAAGACCAGAAGCATCTTGATATGACTTTACCTTCTTTGCTCAAAGTTTTTGAATTTGTTGGACATTCCTAACAAGGGAAATGCACGCAGCATACTAACAGCCTCAGAGCAAGAGGAAAATTTTAAAGTTCTGTTTTCATATCTTGATTGAAATGCCACCCATGTGCATGTATCTCCCAGAAAAAGCAACAATATGACTATAAAAAGAGCAAGTACAAGGCGAATACATACTTTATTTCATTTGCTTGGTAGCGCTATACTGGAAAAACTGGGAATTCTCCCAAACGGAACAAGTAGATGGCACAGATAAAAGCAAAGAACTCCTTAACGTAATGACAAAATTAGGAGAAAAAGAGCCTAAGGCATGAACGGAATCAATGGAAGGTCAAATAGAAAAACCAGGCTCCAAGAGCTACACTTAGTGGCTTACCTTGTTCTTCCGGAAGGACTCGCACTGCTGAGTTTTCCTCCACTTTTTTTCTGGCTGCTGCTTCTTCCTCTCTTGACCATTGCATATGATCCCTATCAAAAAATAAAATAATTGTAAAACATGCTTTATAATTGAAGAAGGCAAGAAAAGGGCAGCAGGGGATACAGCTGTCATTCTAGATTACTCAAAGACAAATGATACAAACTAGTTTCATGTCAACTGAATATATTTTGTGTCAGATGTTCCTTCTGATAAATGCTGGTACAACCCTGGAATGCCTATGGTTTCTTTGTTTAAATGTGGTTGTGTTGCAAGCCACCTTTTGAAAATGTCCCAGAAGCACTATTTTGATGCATAATTATTTGGAAGCTGGTATGGTTTACTGTATTTTACTCTAAGACTAAATTTATTTGCCTTTTTGTTAATTTATGAACAGGACATTCTGTAATTGTTTTTGAATGTTCTTTTTATAGTACTTGTAAAATACTTTGTATTTATCCTCAGTTTTTGAAGTAACTTTAGACTTTTCTTATTAGCTACCTTAATTTTTATAAATGGGTTCATTTATATTTAAATTATAGACTACTTGATATAGCATATAAAAGGGTCACTTCATAAGATCTGGTACTTGCTTTAAGTGTTTTTTAGTTTCAGAATTTATGTTGCCTATATGAGATATTATTTGCTGCCACAAAAATGTCTTTTGTGGAATAAAAATAGCATCTTTATACAAAAAGTGGTATTTTTTTTCCTGGTTTCGTTATTACAAAGTTTGCATTTCCTTTGTTGCAACGGGTAAAACTATAGTGAGTGATGTGATTTCCTGGAATAAACCATTTTTCTAAACAATAAATGAAATCACTAACAATATCATATGAGACTTATAGATATCTCACTGAGGAGAAAGGGGTAAATTATAAAATTACTCAGGTGCATCATTATGGTGACTGATAAACATTAACTGAAATGTGTATGAAGTTGGGACTATGGACAGTTTATACAAGAAACAATAAAAAGTCCATTTTGATTGTTTCTCTTGGGTAACTGCAGATGAAGTTAGGAGCTGGGCATGTTCGGAATCAGAGGATCTCAAATGTGAACCGTTTAGTAGTGTGAGCGGCACAATTAACTGGGAAGGGACTAGAGGAAGGGAGACCAATTAGAAGGCTGTTGCAGTGATCTAGGAGTAATGAGTCCCAGGACTAAGGTGGTGGCAATGAAAACCAGAAAGGAAGAGCGGAAGAAGAGAGACCGAAAAAATAACTGTTATATCCTGGAGATTAACTAGATGTTGTGGGGAGTAGAATAAGAGTCAGGAATAATTTCAAAGCCTTAAAACTGAATATTAAGAAAACTTGGGGTAACAATGACAATGTGTTTGGGTAGAATGATGATAAGCTTGGTACTATTTTGAGTAATGTGTATGCAATCAGATATGAGAGGGGGTACTCCAGTGACCTGTCTATAAATATACCACTGAAAGGTGAGAAACTACTATCTTTTAAGGACTGAAACTGGTATACTGAAGTCCCCAGGGAAATCAAATGAAAATGTAACACTCGGAATTTCACAGATGAAATTTTAACCACCCATATTCAAATAAAACCTAATTATTTAAAACCAAATGAATAAGATTAGAATAGATTTGTTTTGACTTATTTTAATATATATGAGCAATCCCATAAATAACTTTGAGCTGGCAACTATACTTTGTATTCTGTACATGTAAATATACAGGGTGGGGCAAAAGTAGGTTTACAGTTGTTCATATGGAAAATAATACAACAAATAATAAATAACACAAGAATAAACTCTGTTTCACATACTCACAACTGTAAACCTACTTTTGCCCCATCCTATATATAGAATATTATTAAAGGCAACAAGTCATTTATTTAAAAACTCGTATTATTGTCCTGGCTGGGTGACTTGGTTGGCTAGAGCATTATCCTGTACACAAAAAGGTAGCAAGTTCGACTCCCAGCCAGGCCACATACATAGGTTGTGGGTTTGATAACCGTCAGGGTCTGTACAGGAGGCAACTGATCAGTGTTTCTTTCTCACATCAATATTTCTCTCTCTTTCCCCCTTCCTCTCTTTCTAAAATCAATGAAAACATCCTTGGATGAGAATGAAAACAAATACAGTATTATTAAAGCTGGGACAAGTCTCTTATCTGTAAGTTTCTACAACATATAAGAAAGAAAACAGAACAATTCATTTACCTGTAAAGAATCAAGCTCTGAGACAATGAGAGTATATGTGGTTTTCAGCTTTAAGCATGTTTTAAGCTGTTAGTTTATCTTGCCTCTTCCTGAGTATTTAATAGGTTTAGCTATTTCTTAAATTGCTCTAACTTCCTTACACTGTTCTTTATGTTGCTTCATTTTCTTAACTGCTAAGTGAGGGTAATATTATACCCTAAGCCACTACAGAACAGACTTTCCACTGTACAGTTACAGAATCCCCACTGAAACCTATAAAATGTTCCTACTGTATTTATGGGACTTCCTCCAGACTTGCAGCTTTATGGTAGTTCTTTATATTAGAAAAGTATGATTCACATATACCCAAACCCAACAGACAGTAATAAGAATCATTCGAGTTTATAAGTAATAAATACAATTGCAATATAATTTAAGCACAGAAACAAATAACTAACAAACAAACTGAAAATAATCAGGTATTTAGCAACCACAACCACAACCACCACTACTACCCAAGGGAAAAAAAAGCCTTATATTGTTTGACCTATGAATTGTACTTCTGGGAATTTATTGTAACAAAGTAACTCAAAAGAACAGAGAAGTTCTTTATAGAGAAGTATCTGTACAATGATATTCCCTGGACTACCAAACACAACAGCAAAAAATTAAAAACCTCAGTGATAGGGTAATTAAAAAATTATGATAACTCAAAGGAATATTATACAAACATTTAAAATGATAAATATGAAGGTTATGTAATAATGTGAAAAAACATTTATGAAATAACATGAGGTTAAAACAGCAGATTCCAAAAATACGTATATATGTATTATAATCATAGCTATATAAAGTTATACACACATTGGGTGAAATAACAATTATGCTAGAATAGTGGAATTAAGAAGTAACTGTCTTAAAATTTCCTTTATATTATAAAGCTGTTTCAACTAGTTTTTTTTAAAACTATATTTACATAAAAAACAATACTGCATGTTTAAGATATATAACAATGGTCGCTAACATTTTACATCATCCCCCTTGGGGAAAAACCCAGCAATCCTTATAGTAAAAAGGAGACAATGTTTTCTTAAAAAAGAAAAAAGCCCTGGGCAGTTTGGCTCAGCGGTTGGAGCATCAGCCTGCGGTCCAGAGAGACCCAGGTTCGGTTCCCGCTAAGGGCATGTGCCTCGGTTGCAGTTTGTCCTCAGCCCTGGTTGGGTTGTGCGGATGGCAGCCACTCGATATGTCCCTTTCACATCGATGTTTCTCTCTCTCTCTCTTCCTCTCTCTCCTTCCCACTCTATCTGAACAAAAAATTGAAAAATGTCCTCAGGTGAGGATAAAAAAAAAAAAAAAAGAAAGAAAGAAAAGTTAAGAAGGAGAATTGCCCTGACCAGGTAGCTTACTTGGTTAGCATGTCATCCTAACACACCAAGGTGGTGGGTTTGATCCCCTGTCAGGGCACATACAAGAAACAACCAATGAATGCATGAATAAGTAGAACAACAAATCGCTGTCTCTCTCAAATCAATAACCCTCCTGCCAAAAGAAGAAATGAGTAGAAAATATAAGATATACTAACATTTTTTTGAAAACTTAAATTTGAAAAAAAAAAAAATCTCAAAAATAAAATATAGGATTTTTGAGTAAGAGATTTTAATTTCTTACTGGTAGAATCAGTCTTATAATTTTGTGGTAGTCAGAAGTCTTATGACCTCTGTTTGTGCGTGTATTTCCTATTCCTCTGTACGTATGGTGCAATTGAATGATGATTCCTTACTTTAGCTTTAAGTTGATGGCTATAACAGCATAAATAATTGTGCATCTGGCTTGCTTTGGAAAAGTTAAAACATACATACTTATACACATACCAATTGTTTACCTTGAGTACTAATGTTTTTGAGAAAATCCTACCTATAGAAAATTCTGCTGAATGTAGTATCCCTTCCTATTTTAATTTTAACAATCAGATGAAAACCAAAGTACCCAGCATAAGTAAGTTATATGGATAGAATGTTTTGTTTGTGTCATTTACTGTGTATGCAAAAATCTCGTTATACAAAAAAATTTAAAGACAATTTTAACAAATGTATAAGGTAACTAGTGAATGAAAAATAAAATATTGTTGCGGCCAGTGTGGCTCAGTTGGTTGGACAGTTGCTGGTTCAATTCCAGGGGTATGCAGCAGGCAGCCAATAGTGGTGTTTCGCTCTCACATCGATGTTTCTCTCTCTCCCTCTCACTTCCTCTCTCTCTAAAAAAAAAAGCAATAAAATATTTTTAAAATAAATAAAAATAAAATATTTTTAGGTAAAGGGAAGAAATAGAATTTATTAGTTTCAGCTTAAAACTATTTCAATAACCCTTAATTCCATAATAAAGTCATATTTAATATACAGGTATAATAACAGAAAATTTTAAAGAGAAGAAGTCTTGCCTGTCATTTATATATCCTAATAAGCGCCACCTTGTTTTGCTCAGTGGTGAGAGCATCAGCCTGCAGACAGAAGAGTCATGGGGTTTGATTCCTGGTCAAGGGCACCTGCCTCAGTTGTAGGCTTGATCCCCAAACCCCATCTCTCTCCTTCTCTCTCTCTCCCTTCCTCCCTCCCGCTCTATCTAAAAAAAAAGGAAAAATATCCTTGGGTGAGGATTAAAACAAAAATCCTAATAAATTAACAGTTAATTTTTCAAGTTCCCTTCCTGTATTTGTGTATATACAAACACAAACATTTTCCTGTATAGCTACAAAATCTTCATAATTGTGATATAAAACTTCTGTATAGGACTTGTGATTTTGGCCCTGACAGAGTACCTATTAATGAGCTTACCGGTCTGCCATAAATAATACAACTGAATAAAATATATAAAGCAACTGTTTTTAG